CTCCTCCTCCATTCCTCCTCCTGGGCTGAATGCGCACGCGCGGCAAGAGCTGCGCGCGCATTCAGCCCGTTGCATAGGAAAGCATTTACAATGCTTTCCTATGGACGCTTGCGTGCTCTCACTGTGAAAATCACAGTGAGAAGCACGCAAGCGCCTCTAGTGGCTGTCAATGAGACAGCCACTAGAGGATTAGGGGGAAGGCTTAACCCATTCATAAACATAGCAGTTTCTCTGAAACTGCTATGATTATTAAAAAATGGGTTAACCCTAGAAGGACCTGGCACCCAGACCACTTCATTAAGCTGAAGTGGTCTGGGTGCCTAGAGTGGTCCTTTAATAAAAATAAATAAATAAAAATGACAGTCTTTTAAAGTCTTTGTGTGTAAGCTAATTCAGTTCACTCCAGTTATTAGTGAACTGGGATCTGGATACTGAATTAGTTATTTGTTATAGTACAATATAACAATATATATGGTCCTTATAATTGAAATATTGTGTCTTGAACCAGAGAAAGAAACATAACTAACAGGCTATATTGGGTGGCCCTTAGTTGTAGTACCACTTTACTCCTAATAATAGGAAATAAAGTTGTAGAATCCTGTTTCATTTTATTGAATAGTTTACTGCAATTTTAATTTATAACTATTGCACAAATATCAGTCCAAAGGTATATACTATAAACTACTCCTGGATATTTTATTAAATTTGTATTTGATAATTTTTCTTCTTAGTAATATAGACAGTGCCTTTTCACTGAAAATTTATTGTTTACCTTAAAAAGCTTTCAGGGAAAGACAGTAGACACCAGAACTACTACATTAAGCTGTAGTTGTTTTGGTGACTATAGTGTCCCTTTAAATATACATTACTTTGACACTTGTACACTCCTGACAAAATGTGACACTTCTTTCTTTTCTCACTGCCAGATGATCAGATTGATGACAGAGAGGCAAGAGGGGGATTTTACAGGAGATTGTTTATGTACATGCCACGCACCCAAAGTGACAGGCTGTAATTCTGATTGCATGGCCAGGAACATCATTAATTAGCTATTACTTGGCTGCCATGCTGCTTAGGCAACTAGTAATAGACCACTAACTCTGATCCCATCATGCAATGCTGTTGTGATTGATCAGTGCTAAGGCTTCCAGTAATAGCTTGGTACACACCAAGATCACAGTATATACCATTTATAACAGAAAACATGACTTGTGCACAATCCCAAATCCTTATGTACATTTAAACAACAGAGTTTATTTCTATTAAAGTGTAATATCACTTGACAACGTTAAGGCAAATGTTTTAGAATTGTATAAATATTTACACAAAAAGTTAAATCTGACCTTCTCATGCACACTTTCTGTAAATGACAGGTCTATTTAACAGTGTCTCTTTCATCTTCTGGGGTCTTTGCTTATTTCGCAAAGACCCGAGATGCTTACAATCCTGCTTGCTGTGCGGTGGCCAGAATGTGTAGTGAGATAGGTTTTCCTTACCTGAAGATGTTCCTCATGGCTGACATATGGCCTACTTTGCCTTATATATTTTGACTGCTTAGGAATGTCAGTAAAATTCCAAAACAGTGAATGTGAACACTCCACATAGGTTTTATCTTTATGAAGTATTTTAATTTTTAGATGGAGGGAGGCGACAGATTAAATATCCAAAAATATGAGGCATCAGCAGTGTGGTATCTTTGGGTATGATGAGCATTCATTTTCACACTCATATCTAACATAATAATATTAACAAAATAGTATTTCAGTAGGAATGTTCATTGGTACCTGCATATAATTACTACACTCTGTGCATAAGCCGAAGTAAATGTAAGATGGTGCAATACTGACACCTGCTGTCTGCAAAATATGCACATTCAATGTGAGAACATTAAAAAGTGTATTCTGAAACGTCATCTAATGTAATAAAAGTGAGGCGTTCACCTTAGAAACCAGTGGGACCAGTAGGCATATGACATTGAGGTCCTTGCGCTATTACATATTTGCACCACTTTTCAGAGCAGACACATTTTATACATAAAGCCATTATGTTTACAATTAAATGCACATGTATTGAAAAAGTTGATTTGTGAAGGGGGAACTACTTATATTGATATTATCAATATGTTGCAATTTACTTACTTGTTGATGGCTCCCCAAGACTTACTTTATTCTAACTCAGATGTAAAACAATTACCAGTTCAGATAATAAATGTATTGCATTATAGAAAGTCAAGAAGTTGCTGAACAACCGAGCCAAAGAGAGGCCTTAGGTAGCAAGCACTGTTACAATTTGAAGCACTAACAGGAACTTTATTCTGTAACTTTGCTCTTACTAGTAAAGGCTGTTTAAACCACCCTATTTACACTGTTTTGTGGTGACAATTTATTCTGTATTATGTATAAACTTTCTATTTTCTGAAAATATTCAGTAGGTGAAAATGTATTCATAAATATGTCACTTCCTCCTCTGTAATAGGATTAAATTAATCCATAGTTTTATTGAATTGGCAATGCCTCATATTGCAGGAAACTCGCTGTTTCTCTGAAATAATTGTTTAGATCAGTGCTATCGAACTTTGTAAAAAAAGTTTTTCACAATATATATATATATATATATATATTCGGTACATAGTTACATCTCAGTGAAATGAGAACTTGAATACAAAGTCATCGACAGTATGATGAGGTGGTACAGTTTGAGTAACAGGACTACATACAGTAAGAAAAATCTACTCTGAGTGGGAAAAGTCCAGAGTCCGCTTTACAGACCTTCATGTAGCCGTTAGTTTGTAGTAGAAACAATGCATAAAAGCAAACAAAACATCATAAGTAACAAAAGTGCAAAAAAGATCATAAATAACAAAAGTGTGAACCAGCTGACATAACAATAGGTTTCTGCGATAATCTCGTCGCTTCTGTCATGGTGTGACACTTGGTGTCCTTCCTAACCCTTCTGGTCACTTGAACAGGATCTGACATATAATTCTCTGTGAGTGTGTATCATGGTAAACCCACCCCCCTTTTTGTGTGTCCTTGTTATCCCGTGTTGTCCCTCCCCCCCACAGTTGTACCTTCTCTCCCACGTTGCTATCCAACTTTCATGGGGCGGTGTCAGAATAAAAACACTTCTACCACTCTCTTTATCACATTTTGCTCCCATCTCGTTTTGTTGGTTCCAGTTGAGAGATTGGAAGCATTAATAGTAGCAGCACCGCTTCATTTCAATGTTCTGTAGCAACCTTTCTAGGTAATATTCAAGGCTGCATTGCAGCAGCCACAGAAACAATAAGTGAGATAACTCTAACACACTAAATATACTATAATAATTTTTTTAAAAGCTGCCGTAGCAGCTTTCAGTTCCATGTGCACTACAAATGTTTGGTTTACTGTACTTTCTGAATTTTCACCACAACTTTTTTGGTGCTTTTATGAGAAAGCGGCTCTCTGTCTCAACATTAACAATAACTCCATTTTCAGTATGTGTTAATGTATTACGAATGGTGTAATTTTGGCTAGTTCAGATCTAGTTTAAAAAAAAAAAAACAGGTGTTGAGATTTGGATGCACAATTATAGCCTGCTCACATAATTATACTTCATGTTACTCTCTAAATTCTTTACTCAAAGAGATCTTCAGCACATACAAGTTGGCAATTGTTAAATTTCATACAGAGAAGCAACACATATCATTATATTACTATATATATTGTGAACATATGTAAGCTGCTACTGACACGCTGTCAGCCATTTTGCTGTCTGTCCGCCATCTTAGAGTATAATCAAAGAAGAAGAAGAATACTTACTTGAAGAATTATGTGCTGTTTTTTTTACTAACTGTTTCTCTTTACAAATTCATTTCTACAAGGATTATTTCTTGAACTGTAACAGGAAAATATATTTTGCAAGTGTCCTGTTAGCCGTTGCCAGGAGGGGGGAGATGTGTGATCGGCTCTAGAAGAGGAAATTAAGGGTTGAGACATGAATGGACAGTTGACAATGTGTTAGGTTAAATTAGATAAGGGGGAGATTATTCTAACGAAATATCTGTAGTAAAACACGTGCCAACACTGAACAGGTTAAATTCTAGACTTATGTAAAGTTCCCTGTGTCATTACTGTGGTCAAGCCATCTGTTAGAAAGATCTATTGAACATGTACTTTGAACCCTAAACTGTTGTTTAAACTAGAATTTAGCCAATAGGAAATGTGACCATATTTGGAGTTCTAAACGGAGGGCTAGTTCCGGGTCTAAAGTATAAGAAATGAGGAATTGTAATGTGATGTCAGATTACCTTTTGATAATCTCCAATAAAATGCTTTTATTGAACCTGGTGATTTGTTGCTACTTCCACAATATCTATTTCAATCTTTTTTTATTGAATTTTTATAGCAATATTAAAAGACAAAACGACATCAGGGGAAGGAACCATTCAAAAAAAGGTATCCTTTCCCGAATAAACACACACAGGTATAACAAGATACTTCAATTTACAGCAAAGATAAACCTTCTAATACAAAAAGGTATAATAATAATAGTATCCCAAAGAAGGAATATCAAAGTCCGTGAGCGGCCTAGAAACCCACATAAATAGGACAAACATTATGAACAAACTGGTCAGATATATTGCAGGAGTATAGAAGGTCAAAAATTCCAATATAAATATAGCTAATATCAGATATGTGGCCAAGGAACCCGTAAGATAGAGCCCACTACAATATTTCGGTTAGGCCTAAAATGGTCACAATAAGTTAATCCGAATGCCTCAACTCATTAAAGCCCTTTAATTTTCTCAACAAGACTGGAATAAAACATCAAAATATTAAGATTGGAACATTCTTTCATATGAATCAGCCATTTTTCCATCTAAACTTGATATAAAAGTTGGGCTTTAACTTGGTCTCCAGTAGGAATGTCAGTGCTTTTCCAGGATCTAGCAATTAATATTTTGGTTGCCATTAAGCAATGTATAATCACAATATCAAAATTGTCTTTTATCCGACCAGACCTAAACAACCCAGAGGAATAACCCACTTCCAGACCAACCGACACCGCTCCTGTAGACCCCACAACCCCGAGACAACACAGACAGCTGGCACCCACGTTGGAGAAGCACCTGGAGGCAAACCCGCACCCCAAGAATCAGGTACTCTGACATAGGGCAGTTAACATATTGGCACGAGACTAACAGAGGGGACACTGGTATGGGAGGGTGCCACTCTTCACCATGATACTGACCGAACTAAGGGATATCTCACTTACAAATGGGTCCTCCACAACACGAAAGGGTTCTAAACAAAAAAAAAAACAACAAAAAAACCAAAAGGAGACGAAAAGGGAGGGGCGGGAAGAAAAATACAGCAGGGGAATAAATCCTATTGGGGAGGGGGATCTCAGGGGGGAGGGTCGGGGACATAGAGATCGGGTCCTAGAGACCTCCTGCAGCATTGACTTTCGTGAAGACAAAGAACTGATTCCATACTAAATGTATAGCTGATTGTGAGGCCAGAGACTGCTCTTTATTGTATGATTATTGTGAGTAACCTATTTTGAATGGCTAGACTATGCAATCTCACTCTGTGTTACTGACCGGGCCCTCCCCCCCACCAAAAGGACCGACATGTATAGATAACATGCTCCCAAAGAGGTCCATACACTACATACAATCACAATTCCCTCACTCAGACGACACACTGATGTCGGGAAGACACTGAGCAGACGACCATCCCACCACCCCCTAGAGGTTGTGAAACATGAACAAAAGGGACGGGGGACGGGACGAGGGGACATAGAGGAGGGAGGGGGGAAAGAACGGGGAAAAAAAAAAAAAGAAAAAAATACATCCACATGATCCAGATGCAACAACCCAGACACAATGAGAAGAGGACCCACAATGCACACACCCCGAAGAGATATCCTCAAGCCCCTACTTTGACTACACGCAAATTACCCCTACGGTACTTCCCCCCACCCGATACCAGCGACACCGAAAAGGCACAACAAACAGGCATAGTGCTGATAACACTACAGGCACACATCAATGGCATTAGTGATGACTATATAACACCTCTACTACAGTGGACGGACGCTACAACCCCAAAACGGAAATACACTTCTACACAACTAACAGATTTTACCGACGATACACAACCCTTCTCAAGTATCAACTCCACAACTAACACCGCATATACCACACAGGCACCATAGCCTAAACAGATAAGGGCCCAGACACGCTACCCACCCCTTTCGGTGCGCACGCTTAATACTACGGAGGCCGACTGGTACACCGCCGGGACAGAACCTGGGGTACCCTCCGACCGACACCGTAGGCACACGAACTCCCTCTCCGCGGAGAGGTTCACCCCCTCACATTACCACGACACACACACCACATCTATCCTACTCTCCAACATCCTAACAAGAAACACACACCCCCATCACACGAACCAGGCACGGAGCCTAACATAACCGAAAGGCACTGAGCCTGAGCAGACAACTCCCCTAGACCACACAGGAACAAATACCAACATCCCACGAACTCCAACCACCTCACACGTGACCGCAGTCCAGCAACCCACCCGAACGTCACATCCTCCCCCCCCCGGCGCTCCTGACCCGGCCGTCGCGTCCGCCTTGAGCTAACCACCAGACGGCGCAAGGGCACCGAACCACACCAAAACCCAGGAACCAAGCCACGGGTTCGGGCTTCCTCGGTCGACTCCCGCGTACACAAGAAGGCGCGACTCGGACGAGGGACCCCGACACCCGACAAGACACCACCGTTGCGCAGAGATACGGACAGGATGGCATACAGACCAGACCCGATGAAAATCATCACACAAAACTGCAGGAGACTGAATCTCCCAGAACGCAGAACTAATCTCTTGAGGGAACTTCAGAGAGAGAGGGTTGCAGTCGCTCTTCTCCAAGAAACTCACTTTCGAGAAGGAGCGGCCCCGACACTCAAAAACAAACACTACCCCACTAACTACTACAGCAACCACCCTACAGCGAAAAAGGCAGGGGTCGCGATCCTTAGAGCAGCTCGTTTACAATTCCAGGAACAAGATCACCTTATAGACCACAATGGCAGATACGCCTTCGTAAAGGGGAATATCGCAGGGCGATGTTACACGTTTGCGACAATATACGTCCCCAATAACAATCAATCTAGATTCCTTAAGAACACACTGAAGGCACTAACAGACTTCACGGAAGGAACCCTGGTCGCGGGAGGGGACTTCAATGTCACACTAGATCCTAAAGTAGACTCCTCAACGGGACACAGCAGCATCCCACAGAGAGAAATAAGAACCATAAACCATACTCTGAAAACACTACACCTGGTAGACTGTTGGCGAACGCTAAACCCACTAGACAGAGAATACACTCACTATTCCATAATACACAAAAGATACTCCAGGATAGACTTCCTACTATTGCAACAAGAAGCTCTAATAAGACTTAGGAGAGCATCCATACACACTGCAACGTGGTCGGACCACGGACAAGTGTCGATAGACCTCGAATCTCCACTCATAAGACCGACGAAAACGACGTGGAGACTCAACGACTCCCTCTTAACTGACCTCCCACTAAGGGCCCAAGTCACCGACACTCTACAGACATATTTTACCGAGAATGAGACGGGAGACGTATCAGATATGACAATATGGGAGGCACACAAAAGTGTACTCCGGGGCAAGCTCATCCAAATCGCGTCACAACGGAAAAAAGAAACGGGCGCACTTATGTCAACCATCCTTGACCGGATCCGCTCCCTGGAAACACAACACAAACGCCAACAGGTGGAAGATACCTACAGAGAACTATTAGAGGAAAGAAGGAAACTACACGCACTACTACTCAAGAGACACCTGAGACAACTCCGCAGATCTAAGGGTTTCTTCTACCTCCACGCAAACAAAGGAGGCAAACTCCTCGCACAAATGCTCAGGGGACAACAACACCCCTCACAAGTCCACAAATTAAAAACAAGCGACGGCACTACTACCCAAAACCCGGAGAAAATCGCCAAGGAATTTCTCACCTACTACTCCTCACTTTACAGTACACACTCACAAAGCGACGAAGAAGGCAGGCGACTCAAACAAGGTCGCATGGAATGCTTCCTGAGAGAACATCTACACACGACGGAGACAGTCGAAGATGCAGAAACCATCGACCGCCCGATCACCGAAGACGACGTTAAGACAGCTATCAAAACGACGAAGACAGGACGCGCACCCGGACCCGACGGACTTACACTGGACTACTACAAACGCTTCCAAGATATACTAGCCCCCAAACTTACAAAGGCGCTCAATGCCATCACTGAGGGACATACATTCCACGCCGAATCACTATCGGCTACAATTACAGTAATCCCAAAACCAGGGAAGGACCCGGAAACCTGCAGCAGCTACAGACCCATCTCCCTCTTAAACGTGGACACAAAACTCTTTACCAAAATATTAGCCACCCGACTTAACAACCTAATGCCAACACTCGTACACCCTGATCAAACGGGATTCATACCGTAACGGGAGGCTCGAGATAGCACTCTGAGAGTTCTCGCTATACAACACTTGGCAAGACAACATGGAACACCACTTCTGCTACTCTCCACGGACGCCGAAAAGGCGTTTGACCGAGTTGACTGGACATTCCTGGAAACGACGATACGTCTACTGGGGTTTAACGACAACATACAGAAATGGATCAGAGCGATATACAGCACCCCGACGGCAGCGGTGCGTGTTAACGGAGCCCTGACGGAGTCCTTCCCGATTCGCAATGGCACGAGGCAGGGGTGCCCCCTGTCCCCGTTATTGTTCGCACTAACACTGGAACCCCTACTGGATGCAATCCGACGAAATATTAACATCACGGGCTACACCTGTACAACCGCCACACATAAAGTAGCCGCATACGCGGATGACATGTTGTTCTTCATTACACGTCCAAGACTCACCCTACCATGCCTAATGGAAGAATTCGAAAAATATGGACACCTCTCGGGCCTCAAACTTAACTTGAGTAAATGCGAACTGCTCAACATCACGGACCCGCTGGGGGAACACAGGGATATAGCCTCGACCTTCCCGTTCCGTTGGTGCCATACCCAAATGAAATACCTGGGGATATGGGTGATGGCTGACCCCAACGCCATCTACCAGAAAAACTTCCTCCCACACCTCACACGCATTCAACAAGACCTCCGAACCTGGAATTACCCACACATCTCATGGTTCGGCTGCATAGCGGTCATCAAAATGAATATCCTACCCAGACTACTATATTTATTCCATACAATCCCAGTGGCACTACCGACGACCTTTTTCGCGACAATAAAAACCGCATTCCTGACCTATGTCTGGAGAGGATGCAGACCTAGATTACGATATGAACTATTATGCAAGACCAGGAATCAGGGCGGACTGGCACTCCCAGACCTACGCAAATACCACCAAGCGACAGCCCTACAGAGGATACTGGAATGGCATACTAATCCGAGATGCAAACAATGGGTGGCCTTAGACAGAGAATCATGCAGCCCATCTATTTTTGCATCCCTATGGAATCAGAAAACGCCACGACGTCACGACCCCAGCACAACTTCGCCAGCGAGTCACACCCTCCACATATGGTCAACAATGAGGAACGCAACGATCATCTCCCCAACACCCAGCCCGATGACCACGCTAACACATAACCAAGCAGTGGGAGGAGGACTACCGATCAAGGCTTGGGACTTTCTGGAGGGAAGAGACTTCATACCACTCCACAAAACACTAACCGCCACTGTACTGACCCCCCTGGAACGCCTAATGGAAGGCCCGCCAGCTCCCATGCACAAATTCAGATACTCCCAGCTGACGCATTTCTACCACACCCTACCGAACAAACAAGAGGTACACAGAACCCTCACGTGGTTTGAGGACATCTGCGACAAACAAACACCGACTCAGAAACCAACGTCGACGCTCTACCAATACCTAATCACAGGCGAGCAGCAAGCAACTCGACGATATAAGGAAAAATGGGAAAACATCACCGACACAGTTTTCACTGACGCACAATGGGACAAAATTCTTATCCTCCATCACAAATCCACGATTAGCTCAAAATACCAAGAAATGAACTATAAGCTTTTGACA